TGAACCACTCTCGACGGTCCCTCAGTGCAATCGCTAATGGCAGACGGCCTGCCTGAGGACTTCCCGTCAGGTTATGCCCTCGACTTGGCAGATAGAGCCAAGGCCTGGGACCTACTGCTCAAAACCACAGCATAAGTCTTGCACACAAGGACGGCTGGCCGACCAAGCCCGCCGCGTCCCTCACCTACCACGAGCGCACGTACCAGGGCAGGGAGACTCAAGGCAGACACAAGCCTGCTGTCCATACCTCCGCAGCAGACTGCGAGCGACACAGGCCCAAGGCTCCGGGAACGAAGGGCGAAAAACTTTATACCAAAAAATCGCCCAGTAACAAGAAGGCAGACAGCAGCCGCCGCCACTTTAGGGTCGTCCACCATGCTGTAGAACCCGTCTCCATGTCAGGAGGCAGAATTACACACCAGCAGCAGCAAGGAGGGTGGCTGCCCAGAAGGGAAAGAAAGTGAGCAGTCTCCCTCCACTCAGAAGAGCGACAGAGCCAGTGGTGATTCTTCCCCCATCACTGACACGTCCTGCCCCACCTCCTCCTCGTCCTGGTCACACAACACGCTGGTCTGCTCGCCCAACAATTCTGTAGAGAGAACAGCTCAGAACACAAAGAGCAGGCCTCCGCCTCCTCTTTGACGACTGTCTACACAGGGGCACCTGGAAGGGCAGCCCTCTCTAGCCCACAAGCAGAGGGAGAAAAACAAATTGACCACTCGGTCCCAACTACACTTCTCTCAAGTGCGTCTACTTAGCTGCGTCGGGATCAAGCGCATCTCAAGAAACACAGCCGCACCCCCTTGCTCGCTACAGCTGTGTGCTGGGGCCGCCCAAGGGAACATTTACTTTACTGCCATCCACAGGTGCTCCAAACGGCACCAAACTCTGCGAACCACAGGTTCCTACCACCAAACACGGCAAAAAAACCAGGGGTACATAAACCTGCGGTTTCGAACCAAAATAGTATCCCACCCTCCCAGCTACCTGCGAGCCCTGTGTCCGATTTCCAGCTGGAGACCACTCTCTACAAGGCAACCGCCATAAAAAACTCCTTTCGGTCTGCGACGCAAGAGGCAATCTCCGCAAAATTAGTGGCAGGTGAGGGAGCAAGCATATCACGTGCGAATTAACTTCGGCCACAATGTTATCGTGGTCGATGTTGCTGCGGAAGCACCGCTCGCGCCCCTCTTCGCAGTTTCAAACATCTGCGAGATCCCTGTGCGTGCCAGGCAGGCGTCGCACAGGATCGCATCGCAGCTCACTGTACTCGTGCGTGCCAGGTAGGCGTCAACCAACACCTGCAGTGGAGTAATCCGCAACGTCGACCTAGCACTCACAGAGGAACAACTACGCGACAACATCGCATCGCAGCTCACTGTACTACAATGCACGCGATCGGGACGCAAAGTCGTCGTCATGTTCTCTGGACGGAAACCTCAGCAGGACATTGAACTTCACAAACAACGACGCTCGGTCCGTGCTCGCCATCCTCGTCCTGTACAGTGTCAACGGTGCGGTCGCTACGGCCACACGGATATCACCTGCAACGCACATGAACGCTGTGTGTGCTGTGGCGGGTCACATCGGCGTGCCGAATGCACCGCGCCGCGCCCGCGTTGCATATTCTGTGACGCCACCCATCCGGCCACAGAACCCCGCTGTCCTCGGTGGCAACAAAAGCGCCAGCTACTAGAGGTCCACGCGCAATAGGGGTACCTGATGACACGCCGCGAGGCATTCGCAGTTGTTCGCAAGAACAACCCCACAGAACAGAACTTTCCCACTCAAGAGAGTTTTTTTATGTGCCGACCAGGCTGGTGGCTCTACTGCTCATGCACTCACGAGCACCACTACCGCTCCAGAAAACGCCTCGGCGAGCTCAGTGCTCGCGGTCGCAATTCGTGCCGAGTTGGACTTCCTCCCTCGCGACTGTCCCATTCGCGCACTCTGCATAGCGGCGCTGGCTACTCAACAAGCTTTGAAACAGCACGGCGAGTAAAAACGGTGCACGGTGGCCGTGCATCCTTCAGTGAAACTGTCCTTCTTTTCACCGCCATCAAAATGAGCTCGCTGAGTACTTGCAGCTCAACGAGTACGACATCGTCGCACTACGAGAGGCTTATGTACGTGGCAGCGAATGTGGATTGCTGCGACCCCACACATCCTCCCGTCCGCTCTGACGCCTCTATCTACGCGCGCAATGAACTCGCACATTGCACCGTTGACGTTTCCAACACCTTGAGTAGTGAGGTTGAATGTGTGGCAGTGAAAGTATTTTTCGGGAAGTGCGACATGGCAGTGGCGTGTGTTTACGTCCATCCTGTCCACAGGTGGGACACGGTATTTGTGATCTGTTGCGTGCGATGCCTACAAGGCGACTGAGTAATGTGTGGAGACTTCAACTCACACCATACGGCTTGGGGGGAGTGACCACATACACTACAAAGATACCTGTTGGACACCATTGCTGGGACAGGCTTGCTTATTTGAACACGGGCTGTCCGACTTTCCTGCGTCGTGGTGTAAAGAGCAGTGTCATAGACCTCTCACTTGTGAGTGACCAGTGCCGGTACGAGTGGAAGACGGAGGCAGAGACGTGGGGCTCAGATCATTACCCCCTCCACCGAGAGCCACTTGATCGGCGCCACGCGGGCACACGCTCATACACTGTTACTGATTGGCCGCGTTTTTGGCAACTCTAGGCTGTCTCCCCACCTTGCGGTGTCGCCTACTTCTCGCACATCGGCCGCTGCGTCGAAGCGGCCTCGTGCAAGTGCACAGTGCCAACGGGAACACCAGTTTCGGTTATAAAACTTTTCAATTTAGGCGCGGCTCGCCAGAGGCTCTAGCGCCGTGTGACCAAAAGTGACCACAAGGAGCTCTGGACACTTTATAGTTGCCTTGACGCAAAGGCGTGACCGCTCCTGGGGCAGTTTATGCGTCATGCTGGACGACCTTGACGCTCCGCGCGTGCGTGGAGGATATTCAGTGCCGTTCTGTGCCCAGTTGAGTTACGTTTCTCATGCCTCACCATTGCTGTTGCACAGTGTCTCACTTACCAGCAATTAGCCGAGCTACTGACTGATGCCCTCTGCTTCAGTGCTCCCGAAAGCTTGCCCAAGGTTCCCCAACTCCCGCTGCACGATCGCCGAGAGTGATACAAACCTCACCACTTTTTCCTCACCGCCGGCATGCGCGACCATGTACGTGCTATATGCACTGAGATTTTTACTCTTGGTGAGTTTCGCCTGGCTTTGGCATCGCGCAAACGCCGCTCAGTCCCGGCACTGACGGCAATACATGCCAGATGCTTCGCAGCATCGATTAGTCCCAGGTCTCAGTGCTCTTGGCCGCCTACAACGACATTTGGCGCACACGGATAGTGCCACAAGAGTGGCGTGAAGCCATTGTCGTCCCCGTGTTCAAGAAGGACAAACCCGCTTCGAAGCCAGTGTCCTATCGCCCTGTTTCCCTTACCTCCGCAGCGGGCAAGCTCTTTGAGGCCATGGAATTGAGGAGACTTGAATGGATTGCTAGGGCACTATATGTTTTCTCGCCTTCACAGTGCGGCTTCCATCATTCACGTGCCACTCCCGATGCCCTTGCTGACGTCATCGCATTCTAGATTAGGCACAGCACTACGGACAGGCCGGCTACCTCATCCTGCTTGATTTTAAGGCGGCGTTTGACTCCCTGCCACACGCCACTATTTTGCCCGTGGTGCGCGATCTTGGAGTGACCAGTCTCCTCTTCGCGTACATCACTGCCTTTCCCGGTGACAGAACCATGCGTGTGCGCATCGGTGGAAAACTCCGTAAGCCGCGTCCCGTGAGTGTCGGTGTTCCAAAGGGCAGTGTAATCAGACCATATCTGTTCAATTTTGTCCTGCTTGACATCGATTATTACATTCCCCATGCCCTTTTAAATGTGCTCGTCACAGTCTACGCGGACGACATTGCGGGTTCGCGACGGGACCTGTGCCCAGTTGCCGGTGTGTTCGCACCAATGTCCAAACCGTCCTGGATTCTCTTGACGTGTTCATCGCGAGCACGGGGTCAGGCTTTCACCGGCCAAGACTGAAGCGATGCTGCTGCACCCCAGCTATGGTGCCCAGCGCTACACACCGAGATTGACTCTCCAAACAATCCCCATTCCTTGGAAGAGGCGAATGACCTACCTCGGAGTGCAGCTGGTCCAAGGCCTCAATTGGTAACCAGTGGTCAGCGACCAGCTTTGAAACGCGCGAAAGGTCACCTCCACCGCTCGAGCGCTCTTTGCTCGCAGTGGCGGATGCACACCAACTCTATCCCTCCGCATCTACAACAGAATGGCTGCGGCGCGTATTTTGTACGGCCTTCCTCTCGCAGCGCTCACGCGTTTCAGCTGGGCGACACTAGACGCAGTGCATCGTATTGCAATTCGCCGGTTTTTATGCTTGCTCCGATTCTCTAAAACCGGCCCAACAATCGCTGAGACGGGAGACATGCCGCTGTCACTCCGGGCCGACCTTCACTCGTTAAATCACATAGGGCGTATGAAACGCTCGCGTCACGGACTGCAGCTGGTATTCCGGCTCTCTTCTCTGCTACACTCACGGGTGGGGCAAAGCGCTGCGCCATTCAACGCCCTCGTCCAGAACTCACCAGATGTGAACGACTACATTGCCCCGCCCTGTTTCCATTGCCCTCTGAAGATTCGGACATGGTTACCGGGAGTGGCAAGCAAACGGGTGACGCCAGAGGGTGCAATTCGGCATGAAACTGTTGCCACTTTCGACGGACTTCTCGCGGGGCGACTCTTCGCCTTTACTGACGGTTCAGTGTTGTACGACGGTTGTACCACGGCTGCATGTGGGGTGCCTTCGCCGGAGCTTCACAATCAGTGTCGCCTCGCCTGCGAGGCATCGTCGACGATACCCGAACTCGCCACATTTGACCTCGAGGCCGATTCCCTCCTTCAACTGGGAGTTTCGTCAGCTGCCATTCTCTCGGACTCACGTCCTGCTCTCCAACTGCTCACGCAGGACTCCTGCAGACTTCTGGTTGCCACGCACATCGCGCGAAAGCTTGGGTGAAGCATGGCGCGAAGCATCGCGCAGGACCTTGGGTGTGATCTTGTGCTGCAATTGATACCAGCGCACGTTGGAATATCTGGCAGCGAAGGGACCGACGAGCTTGCCGAAGATGCGAACTCTCCCGGAACCCCTGTGACTACAGCGGGGAGCACATTGGACGTAGCGCGGCTTCGCACACGGCGCTCAATCACCGCTCGCCATCCTGACACAACAGTAGATTGTTTTAGTCGGTCCGGCGCACCACTATACGGGAAAAAAGTTTGCAGATACCGGTTTATCATGTCTGAACTGCACATGCGCATGCCTTCCGGGCGTTTACCGGACACGCTCAAACGCCCGAACGCCCGACATGCTTCCAAGGCTGCCATTACCAGCTTCCCTCTTCTTTGAGCTGAATCAAGTCGAGCCAAACAAAAACGTAAAAAAACTAAAATGGCTACTTCGAGGCCCACTACAAGCATGGTGCCACGGACATGCTACTCGCCTTCCGACGATAAAATTATACTCGAAGTTCTTGCGTTTAACCTTTTTTTTTCAAAGAGTTTCGATGCTACTGCGGCGGACACTTAATTTACGAAGTGTGAAAGAGCACGTTGACCTTCTCCTGGCCAACTTTCTACGGAACGACGCGAAAAACAGAAAAAAGTAATTAAAACGTATAGTTCACGTTATCTTCAAGCCACCACGTTGTGGCCAAACTTTGTAAACGTGATTGTTTGCTTCACTGAGATCGGGAACAGAAGAAAAATACGCGGCAATCGACGTACGTCTCCAGCACGTGGCTGACCTCGCCGCCGAATACTCGTATCGGCCCCCACGGTCGGCCGTTCAGAAGCATCGTCCAAAAAAAAAAAAAAAAACTCCAGCTTCCGCATCAGAGACCACTCCAGGTTCTGCTTCCGGGTCCATCGCTAAGCGGGTCAGACCTAACAAGCAGGCGAGTTGGGACGGCCGCCACATCGCCGCGCTGGAATGCGATGCCGCTAAGTCAGCAGCGGAGATAACCAATCAATCTGGTAAGAACTTCGCTACCCCCACCCCAATTTTTTTATTTTTCTTGTTTCATGAGGCATGGAGAAGGAAGCTCTGAAACATTGACACTCATCTGCATCGTTCAATTAAAGTAACTTGCACAATTCGAGGCCAAATAAACTCTGTATTGGTTGCCCCTATGTGACATTAATAGTAACATTATGATTATTACCAGTAGTCGTGTCGTTATAGCCAATAATAATATTATTATACGCACCTAAATCTGTCAATGTGTGAGTTTCTGAAAGTTTTCATTTCCAGTTGATATGCACGAGATAATTGCTAGTTTCAGCTAATAAAGTTTTTGGAGTGAATTTCACGATGACACCGTTAATACGGTCCTTACGAATGCCCCCGAATTATCTGAGAGTTCGCCTTCTTAACTACCTCAAAGGGAACAACAGCCTATTTTTGGCACCTATTTGTTAGCACAATGAAACGCTTGATAGTCAGAGTGTCTAATCACAGAATAGTAACAAGCAAAATGCTGTGAAACATTTGTATAGATTTGTTTCTATCTCCGGTGAAAATGCAGTTGGAGATGCACGTGACAACACATGCCTCAAACAGTCAGCGCAAGAGTGGTTTGTGTCCGAGTGGGGCAGTACACTGTGCATGTGCACACTCTATGCGCTTACGCAGCAGCTAAGCAAGGTGCACTTGCTACCCAAAAAGCAGCACCGGCCAAAAGTCACACATTTCTGCTGGTTGTCAGCCCCATCAAGTAACTGCATTCAAAAATTTGCAAAGGATTAGCTGCAACAATGATTTATAGCGTTTAGGGTCACTGGTGTTGTTCAGCCTGATTGAAAGCAAATATGCACCTATTTTAGGGTGAAATGTTAGGGAACTTGTGTATATAATATCACTAAAGAGGCATTGGTTTTTTATTTCATGTGTTTTAATATTTTTCATCTGTACAAGGTGACGCAGTGAACCCAGCGGATTCACTGCTGCGTAGCATGTACGCAAGGGAGAATGAAGATACAGCAAATGATGTGGACGATCCGGACACACGCTGCCATTTTGACTGGCCCTCATCAGCTGAGGCCGAATGTATGTAAAAATATTCAAGTTTCAACAGAATTCACTATAACAAAGAATTAATGAGGCACTTAGACACATTTTTGTCAGCATACTCTTGCGAACCTGTAAAAGCCGTTGTTAGGTAAAACTGCCTTCACTTATTTTGCACAGCAGTGTTCCTGTGCATGTGGTCGATTATTGAGTATCCTGTTCGAAATCCTGCTTGTTCCTTTGGTTGATTGAATTCAAACGTTTTCTTTACTCTGTTAGCAATAACCTTCGTAAATAGCTTGTATACTACAGAGAGCAAGCTGATCGGCCTGTAATTTTTCAAGTCCTTGTCATCTCTTTTCTTATGTATTAAAATGATGTTAGCATTTTTCCAAGACATTGGTACTCTTCCCGTCAGGAGACACCTCGTAAACCGGGTGGCTTGTTTTTCCAACACAATCTGTCCTCCATCTTTCAGCAGTTCTGATATTACCTGATCCTCACCAGCGGCTTTCCATCTTTGCATGCTCTCCAAAGCTTTTCTGACTTCTATCATTACTGTTGGGGTGTCATCTGGGTTACTGCTAGTTCTTATAGTATTAGGGTCGTGGTTGTGCCGGCTACTGTAAATATCTCTGTAAAACTCCTCCGCTATTTTAACTATCCTATTCATATTGGTAGTTATTTTGCCTTCTTTGTCATTTAGTGCATACAACCAATTTTTGCCTATGCCAAGTTTTCTCTTTACTGCTTTGACACTTCCACCATTTTCCAGAGCGTGTTCAATTCTCTCCATGGTATACCTTTTTACATCGCGCACCTTACGCCTATTAATCGACTTCGAAAGCTCTGCCAGTTCTATTTTGTCTGTTGTTCTTCAGACTTTCATCATTTCACGCTTCTTAATTAGATTTTTTGTTTCCTGGGAAAGCTTGCCAGTGTCCTGTCTAACTTCCGTGCCGCCAACTTGCACTGCACACTCCGTAATGATACTCGTCAGATTATCATTCAATGTATCTACACTAAGATTGGTTTCTTCACTAAGAGCCGAGAACCTGTTCTTAAGCGAGACTCTGAATTCAAGTACTTTCCCTCTAACTGCTAGCTCATTGATTGGCTTCTTGCGTATCAGTTTCTCTCTTTCCTTCTTCAAGACTAGGCAAATTCGAGACGGTACCGTTCTTTGGTCACTGCATCGTACCTTGCCAACCACTTCCACATCCTGCACGATGCCTTGGTGTGCACTAATCATAAATTCTATTTCGTTCCTATTTTCGCCATAAGGGCGTCTCCATGTCCACTTGTAGTTTCCTCGTTTTCGGTAAAAGGTATTCCGAATCCGCAAATTATTGCGTTATGCGAATTATACTAGTAGCTCTCCTCTGGCGTTTTTAGTACCAATGCCATAATCTCCTACTGCCTGGTCGCCAGCCTGCTTCTTCCCTACCTTTGCATTAAAGTCTCCCATCAGTATAGTATACTGTGTTTTTACCTTACTCATTGCGGAATGCTCAGAACATAACCAACCACTATACATAGCCTTCATAGACTACGAGAAGGCGTTTGATTCAGTAGAAATATCAGCCGTCATGCAGACACTGCAGAATCAGGGTGTCGATGAAGTATATATAAACATACTGGAAGAAATGTACAGGAGATCAACTGCTACCATAGTGCTTCATAAAGAAAGCAACAGAATACCAATCAAGAATGATGTAAGGCAGGGGGACACAATCTTCCCAATGCTATTTACTGCATGCTTACAGGAGGTTTTCAGAAGCCTAGAATGGGAACAGTTAGGGATAATAGTTAATAGAGAGTACATTAGTAACCTCACCGATGACATTGCATTGAGTAACTCGCCGATGACATTAACGATGACAGTAACTCGCATTAAGTAACTTTGCCGATGACATTGCATTGCTGAGTAACTCAGGGGACGAATTGCAACTTATGATTACGGAGTTAGACAAGGAGAGCAGAAAGGGTCTTAAAATTAATCTGCAGAAAAGGAAAGTAGTGTACAACAACCTCTGAAGAGAACAGCACTTCGAGATAGGTAATAGTGCACTTCAAGTTGTAAAAGACTATGTCTACTTAGGACAGGTAATCACCACGGAGTCGAACCACGAGAGTGGAGTAACTAGAAGAATAAGAATGGGGCGGAGCACATTTTGCAAGCACTCTCAAATTATGTCAGGTAGATTGCCACTATTCCTCAAAAGGAAGGTATATAACAGCTGTATCTTGCCGGTACTTAGCTACGCAGAAGAAACCCGGAGACTCACAGAGAGGGTCCAGCTTAAATTCAGGGTGAAGCAGTGAGCAAGGGAAAGAAATATGGTAGGTGTAACATTAAGAGACAAGAAGAGAGCAGAGTGGATTAGAGAACAAACGGGGCTTAAGGATATCATAGTTGAAATCAAGAAGATGAGTTGGACATGGGCCAGGCATGTAGCACGTAGACAGGATAACTGCTGGTGATGAAGGGTAACTAACTGGATTCTTAAAGAAGGCAAGGGGTTAGGGGGAGACACAAGGTTAGGTGGTCAGATGAGATTAAGAAGTTTGCGGGTACAAAATGGCAGCAGCAAGCACCGGACCGAGTTGACTGGCGGAACTTGGGAGAGGCCTTTGTCCTCCATTGGACGCAGTCAGGCTGATGATGATGATGATGATGGTGATGATGATAATGGTGGTGTTCCTGTGCATGTGAACAGCATGATCATCTGCCACATCTTCTCCATTGCTCTTATCATATATAGCTTACCGCATAACACTGTTTTGTTTTTGCTGTTGTTGGTTGAGCAAATGCAGCAATACCATCTCGTAGCTCTGAATGGATATATTTAAAGAATAAATGGCCTCGCTCTCTGTTGTGACGATTCGCCCAGACACCAGTGGCAATAGCTGGAATGGTGAATAATTTTTCATACGGTGTTTAATTAACACTTCAGCAATCCTACTTGTACAGGTGTTTTGTTGCTTCGTGTCAC